TGCAAAGGAATCGAGCAATGAATTTAGATAAGTATACTAGAATGAATCTGTCATCCAGAAACTTCCGGAACTTGTAAAGAAACTATGTTCTATCCAGGGATGAAAAATTAAATTTTGAATTTGTACCTAATTTGGGGGAAAGTTTTAACTTAAAGCAAATAAATATATACACGGAAAATTTTTTGTATGTATAGTTTTTGAAAGTAGAAGCAGATCCCCTCCTTTCAATTTCATATCAACACTCAGACTAAACAAATTTGGCTGTTTTAGAAAAGGTGAATCTCTCGGTTCTGAGTTCTTCAATAAGACGTTTTAAAACGAAATATTCGTAATCTATCTTTCGTGGTAAAATATAGACAAAGCCAAAGTTCCATAGCTGGTTCCTGCTTTGATGCGGAACGTAATAAATTGCACCAGCNAAAAAAATCCCATTTTCGCTCTTCGACTTCTCCACTCCGACTCAATCTTAAACTTATCACCACACCACATTCATTATTCATAGATAGGCATATAATTTCATTAGATATTTTTATGAGAAAGTATTCCTTTCTAATTAAATGCACAGCATCCTAAAACCACATAAAAATAAAACATTTATTTGCACATTCTCCCTCAAAATGAGCGCGTGAGTCAATGCAACTGTGAGCGTATATTTTACACTCAAATTGCGAAAACACTCAATTCTATGTTTTATTTATAACACAATAGGGGTATTCTCGAAGTCTTGCACGATGCACGGATTGCACGAAATGCAAAAATACTATTCCAAATTTCGAAGAGTACGAGAGCACCCCATCACAAAGTGATAGCATGCATGGGATGCAAGCATCGAAATTATGTATCAAATACAAGAACAAGAGACAACAAAAAAAATGAAGTGAGCGAGATGAGAGGAATGAGAAAAATATGTACCAATTCCAACAACAAAACAACTAGCAGAGGGTCGCATTTATCTTGCTATGCTATTTTGCAAAATATATACATGGGTTTCGACGTTGCATATTTTGCAGCGAAGCAAATGTTGTTTCAAATGTATTTTGTTGTTGTGTGTTTGCAAGTTATGCAATCCATGCAATCCGTGCTACGTGCAATGGCTTTGCAAGATTTGGAGAATACCCCTATTGTATTTTATCATCCAATATTGATCAATTGAAAAGCTTTCGAAATTACGTAGTCATAGTGCTCTTAAGCATAAAATAACACACACACACACACATATGTACTATAGAGGATACGATTTGGAGGTGTAAATAAGATACACTCATTTAGCATTGATTTTCCGCTCTTACTTTTTTTTTCAAAAGAAAAAACCGGTAAATAGTGAAATAACAAGTAAAGAACAAAGCAAAGTAATGAGAAATAAGCAATAAAAATCAGATATACTTATACGTATGTATGTTTGCATGTAAGAACAATTGTATTTCTGAGTTAAAAGGAAACAATAAAGGTAAATGGAAAACAAAGAAAACAATCAAATAAGGAGTTGAAATAAACGAGATAGAAAAAAACAGAATACATCAAAGAGTTAAAGAATCAAGTGTGCAGTACAACCGATATACATAAATACATAAATAAATAAATACGCGCATAAACCGTGTGCAGTGAATTGTGAAACGAAATTTGCATATTTAATCGTGTAGCAATAACAAAAGCCAGCAACAGAAGCAAAAGCAACAGAGCAACAGCAACAATGCCTGAAGCCAAATCCATCTTCCCTTTCGTTTATACACCGGAACCGCCCAAGAAGGCGGCAATCATAAAAGTCTCTTGCGGCATCGGTGATACGGACGGATTTCCCGCCTTTGATGTTGACTCAGATGCTTATGCGGCCAAAGATGATCCCAAATGGGGTTTCCTAATCACGGGCGGTGCAGAATTTCACATGCCGCTGACGGTATTTCAGGTGAGTTCGATGTACGCGATACTGCTGTATACATACGTATGTATTTTATGCCAATTTATTTATCTATGTGTTTGTACGAGTACTCATAAATAAATAAGTATGTATGTATAGGCAAGCGAATAAGTGATATGGGCCCATATATTGTTTTTTCACTGAGTCTGTGCAGACGTTGAGAGAGCGTATAATGTACGAGCCATTTCAAATAGAGCCTATGCAAATGTTTATGACAGAGAAAGTGCATTAGGGTGGATATTGCATTTTTTCAATCGTGTTTTATGAAATTACATACCTTCAACTTTCCAATCTAAATACATTTCCTTTGGTAAGCATTTTTAAATAATCTATATTGCTCTTATATGAAAACCTTTCGTTTGCTTTCTATGAACGCATATTTTTAGATGGACAGTAGAGTCTAGTAGGTCCCCACAAAAAATAAAATAGTTAAAGTTTTTAATTTTGTTAAAAATAGAGTTCCATTTAGTGGCTTTGAAATTGAGTTATTTTAAATGAGTAGGGGTATGAGCGAGTCTTGGTCGACGAGTTGTTAAAAGGGCATATACCCTTTTAGTACTCAAAAATATCTTGAAATCGAGAAATAAAAAGGTTAAGAAAATATTTAGAATTTGGCTGTTTTTAGGACTCCTTTTCATGATTCTTAATTCCACTCAGCTCTCAAAATAGGGAGGTCGTAAATGTAAACTTCTTTTTGCGACCCAGTCTAATGGCCAGATAAACCGCTTAGTCTGCTTTTTTACTGGGCATTCATCCCAGCTTTTAATTAATCTTTTGTCTACTCAGTTGTTGATGTCCCCCATTGTATGTGATGTATTTAGCCCAAAAATTGGTCACAGAGTATGGAATACTGTTGCTCCCTGCGGATTCGCCTATTCGTTGCCATCATGCCTTGCATGCTCCGGTATCCATTCCAGTAATACTGTGTTCTTGGCTCCAAGAGGGTTTAGTGCGCTGAATAAATCATACATATATCAGCATTTATTTTATTTTGTTAAAACATAGATGCATTTCGAAGCTGCGCCTCTTCTGAGACATTCTTTTTAACATATTTTTACCCGTGTTGCATGAAAATGAGCTTAAAAAATGGAAGGCTACTTGGTTGGCTTATTAGGTACGTTCATATCCTTTCCAAAATCAACAAAGACCTTCACTGGACGATCCACTGTCAGCCCATTCTTAGTGGAGAGCAATATTGGATTTTGTGATCACTCTCTGAAAACGAGCAAGCAAGTGATGATGCCTTATAGGTACTAAGTATATTCTCCGCTGTGGGATCTTCTCAAAACACGATGCCAATGTAGATTCTATTCGCATCGAATTGTGGGCAGTAGAATAAAACAAATTCGACCTCTTCAATGGCATCAATTCACCCTGGTCGAGCTCTTCGTGCTGAGAACATTTCAGGTACGATCTGAAGCCGCCGTGGCCTTGTTGATACTTAAGTTAAGTATAAGTTTACTTCGTCGTTGGGTTGCGATATCTATTTCTAAATATTTGGTATTAGTCAATCTGTCCAGACGTTCGCTGCCTGCAAGATTCATATGTAGCACGTGCTTGGCTAATGTTTTTCAAGCTGGAGGCATAACATATGTACATATATGGCAAGTTTGTGCAATGCTGTTTCAGCGCTAAACGCACTATCGGATGCAGCCCAAACAATACCAAACTATATTGTATGTGAAGCAAATGTATAATGCTGGATTTCCACTTGGCATTAAATGGCAAAAATTGCATTGACAGAGTTGGGCATTGAAAAATATTCGTGTCATTACGTTAAAAATAGTATGTAAATTCATTTCCACATGACATTTTTTAATGCCTCCAATTTTTTGTAATTTTAATTCCTTGTAGAAATTCGGAAATTTACTTGAGGCTACGAATTTATGATTTCTCGTTCACGGAACTACTTAATAGCGCAATATCTTGTATCTGACAAATGTAATACCCCGTATAAGTTAGTCCAAAAATTTCACAAAATAGCAAAGAAACTTATTTTCAGCAAAACTTTCAAAATTACTAAATATGAGCTTCTGTTATAAGTAAATATTCATTACTAAATTTGTGAGGTAGGCAAGCATTGAGAACGGGTGACCAAAATAATTTTTAAATTTTTTTCTGTGTCACCTCATATATGGTATTGCATTTGGTGGATACGAGGTACTTATTACACGTCAAGAGTATCAGGGATTTAAAAGCCCGGACTTTTGGATACCTTACTAGTTTTTGGAAGTTGCAACTTAAAAATTTCGGATTTTACCCTACTGATATGAATTTAGGTTGTTCAGTTAAGACGTTTGCGCTGTCATTAATGAACGTTAATACTAAAATATAAAACATACTCCCGGTTGGTTGCTCATAAGCGTCTAAAAGAACAATTTTATGAGCCATAAAAACCTATTTGATATAAAACTGTGATAATTACATATATGTAATTAATTAAATAAAGACGAATGAATGAACAAATTGGCATCATTATTTACGCAGTAGAATTACTCTCGATTAATCTCGTATAGAGATATACATACAAATATACGCATACAAAATTCTAATTCACAAAACGCAATATGCCGCGCTTAAGCATATAAAGCTATAATTAAATCTGCCGCAAAAAAAAAAAACAACAAAGTAACATAAATAATAAATAGCAGCAAAGATTAGCCTGCTCCCAATTCGCTGAAATCTCACGTCAGATGCATCATATGTGACGCGATATAAAAACATATGTATGTATGCATAAATATTTCAAACGCAAAACGAAAAAAATGTATACAGACTTATGTATGTTTAGATGTATGCACACTTCCACACGCTTGTTGAACATTATTTTTATTTTCCTAAGCTTGTTAATGTGTTGTTGGCCAACCACTTGCCGCAAGTCATTCATTCAGAACCCAAATGAGATAAGCCACCGTACGTACGGGCTACTGAAGTGAAAACAAAACAAATATTTTACGAGTATCAGCATAAATTTGCAAAAGGCACATAAGTACTAAGTACACACATAATTAGTCAAAGTTTTGTAACAGCGTAACAAAAAGTCATTGATTGCATCAGTGGCAGTAAAAGCTAAGCAGGAATCTGAGGAAATTAGTATTTAATAAGACACAAAAGTTAAACTTTGCTTTTGATGAAAAGAGAGTTTAACCTTTCGTGTCAAAATGATTGATGATTTCGAAATTTTAAAAAAGCAAGTCTGCAACAAAATATGCCATTAAAAGCGTTTGTTAAATAGAAAATCTTTCAAAGAAATTCCAATGAATTTTAAATGAGCTATTTATGCATCAAAATGTGTAACTTTTCTAAAGTTGTCGGGCTGTAGTTGCTCATACGCACCTCTAAGCAGTTGCCAGACGGTGATTTTTGCTAGTGACGTATTCAGGCTGAAATGTGGTAGCCCCAATGTTTTTGCAGCGTTATTTTATATGCGATTTCGAAAGCTTTAAATAATGTTGGAATAGACATTGAAATAGTTTTGAGTATATTGCATAGATCACGGGAGAAGATACTCCGTTATTTTGAATTTTTCGTTCCAAATTCTTTATTACGCTTTTATCCTTTAGGATCTAACTCACGTTGGTTTTTAATATACGCGCTTGAATCGCTCTTTCGACCATATTTGATCATCTTCTATGCAATATTTGATCTATAGGCTTCGCGAAATTGTGCAACCATTAATTCAGCAACTATTAAATCAGATCATATTTTGGCAAAATCAGCGAAAAATCTTGGCCCGCACCCTTTTATTGGTCTCTAGAAATGTTAAAGGAAAATAACGAATTTCATCGCTTTGAGAAAGGGTGCTTGATATATCTTTTTATCTAGATTTGGCGATTAATAGAATTTTTGTGATGAGGCAAAATTAAATAACACCGTGCGACAGAAACCAAAAAAAAAAATTTACACGGACGATTTTTTAAAAAGACTTTGAAATTTCAAAAATTTGGTAAAATCAAAAAATAATAATATGGGTACCAAACGCAAGAGAATTGTCTGTAGAAAAAAATAAAAATAAATTAATTCTTTTGGTGCACAAGGACGAATAAGTGTTGAAAATGCCCTTTTAAATATTTTCTCAGGCTAACGAAGTTAGATGGGCATAACTCGGGGATGTGGCCAAACATAAATTTGTTTCAATAAAATAAATTTCTACATTTCAAGGATATTCAAGCATAAAATTTTAAAGGCCCTGTTTCAGTACCTATTTGTCCTTATGCACCAAAAAATTTAGTTCTAGAGAATTTTCTCTTTTATATGGTATCCATATTTTTATTCTACATTGCACTTTTAATTTAGTTTTTTAAATAATTTTTTTAATTAATCATATGTGTAATATTTCAAATTCCCGAGTTAGTCATGAAAATTCCGATATAGCCCTGAGGATAACGCAGTGGTCCTAAAAGTTCGGGTACAGTCCCAAAAATTTCGAATAAATGAATTAAAATATTCCAAAATCGCCCCGAAAATCCCGAAGTACTTAGCTCTGAAATCCGGAAATAATCCCTAAATCGAGACAATAGCTAATATTTACTATTTAGTCATCCGGTGAATTTTGTGAAGCCAAAATTTCACTTTGGTATACAGTGTTTATTTATGTTAAACCAACTAAATACTTGGTTATCTGTAATTCACATCAGCATGCTCCTGCTGACTAAAAAGGTCCGAAGGCAATCAGCCGAAACATGTCAACAGCTGCTCTTCGAATACGATTCGAGAAGGCGGGGTCATTGAGCTTTCAGCCAAAATATATATGTATATATGTACATTAGGGTGCACCTTATTTTTCAACTTTGACCCACAAAGCAAGACTCCCCTTCAATAGGCTCACTCGGTGATAAAAATGAGCTTTGCGTTAAATTTTTAAAATCGAATAATGGAAATACGTGCCTTAAGAGCCCTGCAGTTGTGCAAACAAAGGCTTCATTACTACCAAACCTGGCGAGATATGAAAATGGCGTAGCCTTTTATAAGGTCAGTGTGCAAAAGTGTGTTAATTGATAAGAAAGAAATAAACACTTTTTCCTATTTAGTGAACTAGCGTATGTATCTTTAGGGCTCCTGAGGCACTTTACGTTATCCGATTTAAAAAATTTTTCGGAGAGCATATTTTTATAACCAAACGTACCTATCTGCATACAAATAAGGTGCACACTCATGTACAAGGGAGTTAGGACTGAACAAGTTATTGTTACACTAATGTTTCAAATTGTTCAGCAAAAATTTTAATTGCACTAATTTTGTAATACTAATAGTCCCAGATCAATTTATGGATATTTCAAATATTTATTTTTCTTGCATCGCTTGCCAAAAAATATTATTCCTCAAAATAAATAGTATCCATTATAGTCAAATTACTGACTATTTTTGTTTGTGTAGCGTGTGTGTGAATTTAAAAAGCACACGACAGCCGTTAGCTGCCAGGCATCAGGGCTTTGGACAGTGGTTTTAAGCTGGAATTTATAAGTCACAATTAAATGGATTTTATTTTTAATGGAAGCTGAAAAAATTTAGAAGAGATTTTTCGGGAGCGATTTTTTAATTTTTATTTGTTTATGCTAGATTTTTAAGTGCAAAGTGCGGAAAAAGTAGCAATTTTAAAGAAACTTAAATATTCTATTCCTGTAAATAAATGTTAAATAATGAAAACTCGTTGGTAGCAAGTATAGGACTACTCCCATATGAAAAAAATTACACGAATAAAATTTGAAATAAAATTTTTTAATTGAATTTTTATATCAATTAAAGTAGGCAGTTTTAAAGTTTCAAGTGGCTAATAAATTCCGTTGATCTTCATTAAATTTGTTTTGCTGACATTTTTAGTACTGTTTATGTACATATGTAAATATGTATGTATAGGGAGAAAATGTCTAGCACCGTCAGCAAAAAAAATTAAAAAATTAAAAAATTTCACCAATTCAATGGGCTAATAAATTTAAAAAATTAATCTTGGTGACATTTTTTTATAATATATCAAAAATTATTTTTTAATTTTTTGGTTGGTTCCCACATAATTTTTTTAACTAATTTTTATTGTGTCACATTTATTTTCGGGAACAGGAGAATCTCTTTTATTCAAAATTTTTACCGTTTCTGCACTTTGAAAATCAAGTCGCTGCACTATTTGAAATATTAATTTCCAGTTTGAAACCACTGTGCATTGTGGGCATGGGTTGGTGGAAAGTAGGTTGCCATTGCCTATTGAATTGCATTTGAATTGTGTTTTATTTTTATTTTTGCAAAACATAAGTCAGAGGGACGCATAAGCTGCACAAAAAGCGCCAGAATAATTGAATAAGATGAAAAACAACAGAACAAATTACTAAAACAAATGTATTCCGTTCATTTAAAATTTGGTTGCTAAACATTTTTGAGCGAGCTAAAATTTGTGGCTTTCAAAATTGTGTGTGCTCATTGCTGTGGCGGACGCTTTGGTGAAAGTATTTATTATATTATTCGTGTATTAGCCGGGAGCTGGTGGGTAAATTTAAAGTGCCTGGTTTTTTACATGCAAAAGAAAATTGCGAATTTTTAAAAATTAATCGGAAGCTGTACAAAGTTTCTTAACAATAAATGCATACATACATAATTTCAGTTGAAAATTTATACATTTTTTTTCTATGTGCGCCAGAATTATGACGGACTTTGCAAAACATTGCAGTGAATGATGTCTACTGAATTGCTCTAAACTTTTTGCAGGTAACGCCCGACGGTTTAGCGGACAAAGGCGGCATCCGCTTGGGTGACATCATACTGGAAATAAACGAGGAGGAGGCCACGGACTTGACACTTACGCAGGCACACGAGAAAATTGAAACTTCCGGCAAGAAAATCCATTTCCTAGTGAAGAAGTGAGTAGTCTTGTAGTTTGTAGTTTCATTAAGAACTTTTCAATTTCCATTTCCTGCACTTATAAAAGAAACCAAACATTTTTTTTTTGGCAGCATGGAGGAAGATCAGGATTTCGAATTGGGCGAGGAGAAGTCGATTGTGCTGCGTGTGCCGAAGCCGGCGCCACCGCCGAGAGGTGAGTGTGAAAATTTAGTTTTCCTACTTTAACCGCAGTTAGTAGTTAGTAGTTAGCTTTGTAAATGTGGCAGGCAATGAGTTTTTCCAATTTGCTTTTGATTTTTGCATGGCATGCTTTGCTTTGCTTTGCTTCCCACTTATTTCGCACTTTTGCTTGATTTTTCGCCTGAATTTGCATGAATGCATGGAATATTTAATCTGTGTTACGCTAGTTTGCCCTTGCCTTTTTCGCCTAATTTTTGCTTTACTTTCTTTTGCCTTATTCTCACTCACTAACGCGTTTTTCTTGGTTTATCTATTTCGTTTATTTTTTTTTTATTTTTCGTAGAGTTCAACCCAACCCCATTGCTAGGCAGCCGTTTTTGGCATCCCATAATGTGGCACGATCCACCCGAGCCACCAAAACCGAAGAAAAAGAAAACCAAAACCGAAATCGATGAAGAGGGCAATGAAGTTATCATTGAATTGAGTGAAGACGAGTCCTCTGAGGAAGAAGAGGAAAAGGTGATTTGCTTAATGCACTTCAGCATTCGATATGATAATGTTTCCTTCCATGTTTTCCTTCTTTCCAACCACTAATTGACACTTTGATGGAAGCGCATTCATGAATTATTGACCAGTGGAATTCGATATTTGCGCGGTGATTGAAGAGCTTCTTTCATAAACGAATTTTAAAATAGAAATTGGTCTAGGAAGGGCATAAAGGTCAAGAAGTAATGGTACTAGTAGAATGGGCTTTATCATGTCCAGTATATTTGAAGTTGGGTAATTAAGTAAGTGAGAACATTCTTGCATTTTTTAAAGGGTTTCAGTATTTATTTACTGAAGACATAGACACGATATCAATGAACCTACATAAGGTCTTTGGGATAAAAATTAAATTATAAGAGATTTCGGCTGATTAAAAGGAATAGGCCCTTTGTATATTACAGGGGGGGGGGGGCCGAAAATAAGTCATTAAACTGTAAAGCTATTCTGTAACTCTAATGCCTAAGAGGTGAAGAAAAAGTAATGCTAGAGGGTTGTTGTTGTTGTTGTAGCGGCTACTAAGCCCCGCTAGGTTCGATTCATCCGTCAACGTTGCCGTCTGTTTCAGCTAAGGGGAGGCCCAGGAAGTATGCGACTTCAACAGGGTCTGTCCTTAAGGACAGGGACGTACGCTGGGTGGGGTTCTCAGGGCATGTGAAGAGGTGCCGAGAGTCATGTGGCGACTCTCCACATGCCGGGTACTGGTTGGGCATATCCTCATTAATTCTGCTCAGGTATGAGTTTAGCCTGCTGCAATAGCCAGAGCGAAGTTGGGCTATTGTGGTGCGGGTCTCCCGAGGCAGACAAAGTTCTGTCCCGTCCACGTCAGGTGGTTGTGTGCCTAGAACGGCATTCACAAGGCAAGAGTCTACATAACTCGAGACTGATTCTCTGTGAATGCCGTTCAGGGCTTGTCGGTAGGCTGACGGGTCCATAGGTTATTTTATGAAGCTCTGGACATCGTCCGCAGTTCGTAGAGATGCCTCCTTGGCGAGGGCTCTTCTGCAAGCAGCTGTTTGCTAGGATGACCACGTCTGTGGCTCCCCACAGGGAACTGTTTGCAGAGCATTGTGTTATGCTCCTTAACTGGCAGCATCTGGGCCTCGTCGTGTAGGTGGTGGTGGGGCGCCATCTGTAGCTTCATCTACTGCGTCTTGATAGTCCCAGGCGACCACACGGGCGCTGCATAGTTTAGAATCGGCCGCCCAATTGCCTTGTAGCTTGCCAACCACGTTTCTTTATCTTTGCCCTTAAGTACTGCCGGCCAGCGACTTGAGGACATTGTTGCGGCCCTGGACTTTGTTGATAATTGCGGTTGTATGCGCCGAGAAGGGGCGCAGACTGTCGAAGGTAACTCCGAGGATTTTCGGGTTATTCACCGTCGGTATTGTTACATCATCAACGTGAATACCCAGTTGCAGTCTGACCTCCTTCGTCCAGGTGGTGAATAGGGTTGCCGCGAATTTCGCAGGGGATAAGGCAAGGCTCTTTACAGTGAAGAAGCGATAAAGTTCGGCGAGATAACCGTTTACTTTCGAGCACAAGTCATCAATTCCATTCCCAAACGCCATGATCGAACAATCGTCAGTATAAGAGACAATATTTACACCCTCTGGTGGCTGAGGGAGCTTTGAGACATAAGGACACCACCCTGTGGTAATATCTTTTTAACTTTTCGTAGCTTGCTGGTTTTGTCTCTACTATGGCTTCGAGGAACATAGAGAAGATCGGCCAAGGTACCACGTAGTCTGTATAATCTTGGGGCCGTATATGCTAGTCTCAAACCGCACTAAATCATCGAGTTTCATTCTAGTGGCCAACGCTATGTTTTTGGTCAGTATGTCTGGGAACTGCATATATAGTTCACGGGCTATGTTGAGCTCAGATAGCTTGTGACTGCTTTCCTGGCATTTCAAATGAGTATACATATATATATATAGTTCTGCAAAACACAACCCGCCAACATGGCGTCCAACTTCAAGATATCCATGGAGTATCTGCCTGGACCTCCGCAATAGGCGCTGGATGGAAGATGTTTGTATTGTTTCACCTATTGGACTTCATGCAGAGAAAGTGAGGTTATGATCAGGAAAAATTTACACTCTGATGAAATGAGCTCAAGCTGAACACTTAGTACTAGTAGTCGAGTAAGAGCTTAAACTTACTTTTTGTGCCCAAGGACCATTCTTTATACGAGAGTTTTTTGTAAATTTTTAGTTGCATAAAACTCCAAGCGAAGGCTTCTTTGCATCCAAAAAGCTACTCAGCATTACTGGCTTCATAAGGGTTACATGAGGATACCAAAAAAACCAAAAATGCAAAATGACTAAGTTTTGGAATGAGCTTCTTTTTACCTCTCTTTAGGCAGCACTATGATCAAGTTGACCAAGTTGAAGAGGTATACCAACTATTGACGGAAGATGAAAATCCTGAATAAATTTGCTCACTGTGGTTGGGCTTACTCCCCAGTAGGTATTCTCCTTCTTTTGTACTATCGGTTTTAAAGTTACGTGTAAATTTGTTATTTAAGTGAAGCCCACTTAAATTTCCTTCAGTATCTGTTACTTTTTCATTGCGTACAAATTCCACTGCAAGCTTCTATAACTAAAGTGTTTAATTATAAATTATTTCTCCTTGATCTTTGGCCTACAGGGCTATTTGATAAATTTCACGTGAAAGTTTTCTTATTACGCTTTAGTGCTTTACTTAAGTGCATTTTTGGCACAAGCATATCTCAGCCAAAAATCAATAAAACTTTTACAAAGCTGTTAAAATGCCATTGGCATTGCAAATAAACAGCTTCGATGGCAACACACAAACCGAACACAATTATCTTAACACTCACACCAAACCCACCACTAATGCACCTTCCTTTTTACGAGTGTCACACCAATAACTGTAAAATAAAAATTTTCTATCCACCTCCCACGCTGCTACCTATATCTGCTGCCACCTCAACGAATGCTTTAATGCTTACCGCCGCGTCACGCCACTCACCGCCCGCTCATTCGTGCGAGCGCAGGAATTGCCACATCATCGTATCATACGTAATATACGCCGCTTCTTCGCCGAGGTGGGCGACAATCACGAGTTGAAGGAACGCACCATTGAGGATATGCTGCTGGCGCTGCCCACAGCTTCGCGTTCCACAAAGCCAGCAACGCAACCGAGAGAGGAGCCTAGAGGTCGGCGTAACGCAGCAAATGCCAAGCGAAGAGGAAGAACAGGAGGCCGTGGTCGCAAATCGGCAAAGGATTCCGATGACGAAGATGAGGATGAAGACGAAGATAAATATGATGATAGTGATGAGGATTAGTGCGGCAAAGGGTGATTAGTCTGTCAAGAAAATGATTGCGTTTTAAAATCTCATTCGCTTTGTATACCATAAAAAGAATAATGTTAATAAATTGATATTTATTTTTGCTGACAAGCAAGGGATTATAACTAATTTGACGATGAAAGAAGGAAATGAATGAGCAGAGTGGAAATTAAGTATAACCTGCTTAGAAATAGCCGATGTTCGTAATAAATATGTATGCTTTATCTCTTAAGGGGAATTTGTTTGTCAAGTTTGCACGAAATTAAGCTGAATGAGTTACAATACTAATAGTTAAAATTGAATTAACACAAACAAATTGCAAGAATAATTTATGTTAATTAAACAGCTTTTTTGAAATATCGAACAATTTAAATTGTTGGCGCGAATTTTAATGCAAAATATGGTTGGTTTCGGTTGGTATAACATAAGGGTATAAATATGACAGAAATCGATAGATAAATTTGAGGATAATTATCGAGTTAGGACGGAGATAACTAAATTTAAATGAATTAAGCAGAAGAAATATATTACTTCAAAGCCCCGCGAATTTCAAGGCCTTTAAAATTTTTTAGAAAAATTCAAGTTGTATTCCAAATATTGTAGGGGCCGGACCGGCTATGAATTTTATAATAAAAAAATCACAGTGTAATCTTTTAAATATGTAGCCATTATTTTTCGATCATATTCGCGTTTGATTAATCTTTTAGAATTTCTATAAGTTTATCATGATTAATTTTAATCTGATTGAACAGTTAATCGTAACCGCGATCAAAAAAAAAAATTTTTTAATTATTAACATCAAATTGATTAAGTAGGTTTGGTGATATTCAGATTAACATTTTGCCAACACTGATTTCTTTATAATCAGATTAAATTTTTTCGAAAAAAATTTGGTCAAAATTACATATGTACAATGGGAAAACTGATCCATAAAGACTCTAAGTTCCGTTTTTACAGCGACGAGTTAACGGTCATTCGGCAGTTAACTCCGGGTGTTCAGTACAAAAATTGAAAGTTAACTGCCAAATTTGAGTTAAAACCCCACTGGGGAAACGGCACTAAGTAACAATAAGGTAATGATGTATTTTGGAACAAGTCTCGGCGTACCTTTACAGGTTTGACTTGGAGGCAAACCGATTTCCGCGATTTCCTTCAGTGAAATTTTTCCTTCTTCCCACAAAACGTCAATAGTTTACTGCCAAGCAAAATTCGACTAAGGATATTTGTTTAAAAATATCTGCATCAATCAAAATAATGGTATTTTCTCGCTTTTAAAAATAAATAATCATTTAACCACCTATATGTAGTTGTTTTTCCGTTGCTTTCCATTATTTAATATTTACCGTTCCGTTTGGTTGCAGTTCCTAGTTATCTAAATTAAAATCTACTATTTTATTTTATCGATGTACTCAACGTTGTACTTATCACTATTCTAATTTCCTGTTCCCCCTAATAATTTTCAAACATCTTCCGCCACTGTAAATAGTAAAATCGGCTGCTTCAATTGAAGCTCGTCTGCGCGAAATGCAGCGAAAATTATCGGAAATTGCGGAAATACCGAAAATACTCTCCTCCACACTCGCCACCGTTTCGCAAACGTTCGAAATATTAAAGCCCAATGATTTGCAGCAACAACAACTGCTACAGCAGTGCCAACAGCAACGCAAGTATTCTTACGATGAGGATGCACTGGATTACGAGTTAAGTGGCGCCAGCACTGCGGAACGTCTCAAGTTGAAGGCGAAGGGAAAAGCAAAGGCTAAAACCGCTTTCACATTGAACGAGGTAAGGCTGGAGCACTTGCCAAAGGACGCAACGCCGGAATCGGATTATGCATCGGAAGGCAATTACGAATCAAATGAGGCAGACACGGATGATGATTATGGGGATGGCGAAGATGGCGACGAAGATGGTGGCGGAGCCGATATTAGTGAAGCTAGTGATGAGGAGTCGGACGGGAAAATTACTTACACTTTCGCTCTAGCCGCAATTGATGTTAGTGACGTTGATGCCGCAGAAACTGCTCAATATTCATATGTAACGCGAATGAGGCCGGCAAAGCTAAAGCAGAAAATACAACGAAAGCAACAACAAAATGCGCAATACCAGCGCGGCAATGTCAATGTCAGNCGAAACTAGTGATGAGGAGTCGGACGGGAAAAGTACTTACACTTTCGCTCTAACCGGAATTGATGTTAGTGACGTTGATGCCGCAGAAACTGCTCAATATTCATATGTAACGCGAATGAGGCCGGCAAAGCTAAAGCAGCAGAAAATGCAGCGAAAGCAACAACAAAATGCGCAATACCAGCGCGGCAATGTCAATGTCAGTGCCGTTATAGGTGTAGGAGTAGGCGGCGCTGCTGATATGTCACGGATGCGGTATGAATCTAAAGATTATGACGAAGATGATGATGATGATGATGACGACGAACGCGAGGAGGATACGGACGACGATGTTGTAACAGCCAGACTTGTTGCCGGTGACGGCGGTGACAGTGATGACGAAACTGCAGAGGATGATTATGATGACAATGACAACGGTGGCGCCAACAATCGCAACCGCAACGATGATGACGAGGATGATTTCTTAACCACTACATACACCTGGAATTTGCGCAAAATACCCAAGCTACAGTTGAACGATGAAGAAAAACAATCTTCCGATGAAAGCAATTCAGTCAAGGATCAGATTGATATGGATGACACTGATGAGGAGAAACCAAATAAGAAAGCACGTTGGTGCCATGCCGACTACGATGACTTGCAACAAGAAAAACATCGCACGCAATGGGTTGGCGATGAGGTCGGAAAGGAGAAGAAAGTAAGTGTGTACGTGATAATGTGTGTGTGTGTATGTGGGAGTATGTGCTGAGTGTATTACGAGTGCTTTGATGAAGCAAATGACGTCGATGTTTTTAAGATTTATGTTAGAAGATTTTTAATCCACCCATCAACAGTTCGGAATTTCTTAGTGAAATTTGGCGTGGAAGGCGTCTTTGTTTTCTATACTGCTAGATTTTTAAATCCTTTTTCTGAGTGTACATAGCCCAAGTTGTATACTACTAAAAAAGAAGGAGCCAGAAATTTTTTCGTAGAAGCTCGTCTAAGCAATTACTATTTGTGGAAGCTCTTATTTGGTACCACAACCATACTTTTTATCTGAGGATCATCTCCCAACGGCATAGCTATGTATGTATGTCACTATAGAGTTCGAACAGGTTTTTCATTACACTTTTTCCGTCACCTGCTGCTATGTCTAATATGCTTCTGCGTCTTAGAAAATACGGTTATGTTGAGAGATTTATAGAGCTACATCTTTGTTCGTCGCGATAGGAACCTGCTGTAAGGCGAATTTAGCATCTGTTTGGAATAATTGTTTCGGTTGTTTCTTTAGCCTAACCCTTGCGAGGGCTAGAAATTCGCATACAAAAAGTGTCCGACGGTCTCTTTTGAGCCCGCGTACACCGCGAAGCTGCGGCAGCACCTTTTGAAGCGTAAGCGAATTCTGTAGGCCCTGTGCACATCGCCGTAAGTTTGTTATATGTATATTGGCTTAGGGCATTCCCTGGTTTAAGTAGGACATAAGACACCCAGAACTGCTGGGTAATACTATATGATTTCGTTCGGTTCTACCTTTTTCTAGCCTTCGAGAGCTAAATTTCGGCAATTCAGTCCTGGATTTACCTGAGAGAAGCATCGATGCCCACCGCGTAGAACTTATTCAGTGTGGAGCCGCGCCGCGCTAGTTCATTTGCTACCTCGTTTTCATAAATGTTCCTATGTCCCGGCACTCATAGTTGGGTAATTTCGTATTGATCAGAAGTCGAGGTCAGCTTTCTCATACAGTCATCCAATAGTTTAGATCTAATTGAGGTACAAGAGGTGCCTGATTAGCCACTTGGCTATCTGGGAAGATGCACTCTTGTGTGTGCATTCATTTTGATGTACCTCACTGCCTCCTTAATTGCCTGGAAAATGCTTTTATAGTCTGGTAGGCCAAAGGATAGCTTTGGGTTATATTGCTCAATGAAAACTCCTCCAACAACCCCGCATTACATCTTTGATCCATCCGTATAGACAGCTAGGCCTTCCAAGAACTGGACCTTTCCTTGAGTTCAGTCAGGTCTTCGACATGATATCGTTAGTATGCAATACTTTAATTTTAAGCGGGAATACATTTAGGATGGAACTATGCTCGAACGGTCTTTCCTTGCAGAGCCCCAAGGCACGCAATCTGATTGCTATTTTAGTTTTTAGGTTTTAGAGGAAAATGTCTATCGGTATTAAACCAAGCAGAACTTCCAAAACATCCCTGGGGCAGCATTTGATTGTATCTATTACGCCAGCGCCCGCTGACCTTTGAATTCCCCTTAGTTTCTTAACTAAGTAATCCTTGGTAATAAGGGCTGGCCACCAGACCTGCGCCCCATAAAAGAGTATGGGTCGGACTATAGCTGTGCACACCCAGTGCACAAATCCTGGATTTGTTTTGATTCCTATGTCCTGTAAATTTATAACTTTGATATTCATATACATATTTCTAGTTCTCGGAGAAACTGGAGCGTTCCTGGCCCTGGGCTGATCGAGAGAAAATCATTTACAAGTATGTACCTTTGATAAATAGATATTACATAAATTTAGAATTATGTACTTATATAAGAAAGCAAATACATAAATACATTTGTAATAACAAATAAGTACTAGGGCGGTTCAAATTATTTCAGCTAGAATAACGCTCATGCATAACATTTTTTTGGCCAATCATTTTAAGGTTTAGCTGTCAAATGGCATTATTTCTAGGTGCCAATAGTTCGCTCCGCCCTAATACTTGCATACATATACAAGGTAAAATTTTTATAACAGCATACGTATGTATATACATATGTACATATGTATATGTGTGTATACTTATTTCACTTTATAATCGCCTTCCCGCAAATCAATAAATTTGAACAAATGACAGCTTCACAACCTTGCACTCACTTTGCAGGCAATCAACTTGTCACCTGGTTCGTCGACGACCATTGGGTTTGGTGGAGCAGCGCATCAAATTATTGGCTAAACAGAATCTCAGTGGCAGCTTGGAAAAACAGCTGCATTGAAAATAAATTACTTATTGCCTTGCCGCACGCGTGACAGGAAGTTTATTGGCATTGTGGGTGCCAGACCAGCTGCCAAATGTATTGAAAATTAGTTTTGTCGACAGTTTGATTTGTCCTCTTCTCCTGCCATTTGAACTGCCATTTATATTGAATTTTAAATTTTTTAATAAATTTGTTATGATATCGTTTGTCAGCTATATTAGCGAACATTAAAAATACCTTTTTGAATAAAATTGTTTTTGGGACTTGTTTTATTTAACATTTAATTAAGGTTAAGCAAAGAAAAAAATCGAAATCAATTTACTTTAAATTTTAGTTTCACAAATATACAAAATTCGTTGGAAAAGTATGAACCATTTTATTCAACTGCTGGGGCAAACTTGATTGAGCGCAGCCAGTAGATTTTTTCGCGTTAAGTGCTTGCCTCCAAGTAGTACACATGCATCGCGGATTCTTTATATAAATGCATACGATTGTTGATATCATAACAGATTAACTGTAAAACAATAGATCACAGAAAAATTGTAAAAGCAAGTAATTCGTCCAGCAAAGTTACTTTCCAATGGCATACATTTAGGCGCCAAGATTGTTGTTAACCCTCCGAACTTACCTGGGGCATTGCGGGTGCGCTATTATTAACACTAAATGTGCAATTTTTGCCGTTGCTTTCTCACTCCACCAATTTATTGCGAAAACGCTAAAATAATTTTGCTTCGGTCTTGTACAGCTCATACACGTCAGTCGCTCTCAATTTGTTGCAAGTCGCAAGTACACCAGAAATTTGCTAAGCTTTCTTGAGCGTCGCTACAGAATTGCGATTCCGGGTGGTATTTTTAAAATTTATTTTATCTTTTCGCAAATATGCGGTTAATGTTTTTGGAGGCGCTTACAAAATTGATTATTACAAGAATACAGAATATAGCCAATCATTTCGCTATGTCTTTGAAGGGAATAAGAATAATATATGTATGTATGTACAAATATTAAAAAAGAGCAGTAAACAGAAAAAGTTATCGATTTATGAAATTTTTCCGAAACATGTGGGCGAAGTAGATTTGGGTAAGGAAGAAAAAGTACAAAAAAAATCCATTTATCTAAAGAAGTTCTGTAAAAAATAGATTTTAGCACTTTTGACTTGTATTTGTTAGCAATTGGAAATTTAATTGTTTAATTTAATTAATACTCAATTCAATTGACCTTTATATCGTGATTAATATCACTAGATCAAATTTTTTTCATTCACCGGAGGCCCCTATATAATTCCTATGCAGAATCGCTCGTTGATTCCGAAAATCGAGTTAATTTTTTGTCTGTGGATAAGGTTTCAAAATATTTTTTATTTACCGTATTTCAGCTTAAGGAAAAGTGCTTTAAATACGACAAATGAAAGCTTAGAAAATCCTCCATCAACATTCTTTCCTGCTCATATTTCATACAAAAAAATTCTTCTTTCGTTCGAATACTCATTCATTTTTTATTTATCCCAGCGATTTTTCTTTAGTAAGCAAGTCAAAAAAATGCACAAAGAATTTTGTTATTTTTTACAAACTTTTATTATTTTAATTTTAACCAAGCTCAAAACCCGATGGCAATGCAAAGTGAAGTATGAATTAATATTCTAGGTGTTTTCTTCTTCCAAATAAGTATAAAAAGTTTAATTACAAAATGGATATCCGAGGCGGTTTCATTTGAGTACTTACCCATTAAAACTTCATATTGTAAATGTATTAGAAATAAATAGAACCACAAAAAACAATTTTTTTGAATTTTTTACACATTTATTGCCTTAATTAATTGCAATCCACACAACAGAAAGCAAACCACTTCAAATGATAGACGATAATAAATTAACTTTTTCTTGTAAAAATATGCTTACAAAGTATAAAAATTCAGCAAATGCACTTAAAGCCAAATATTCATTAAGATATGTACATATGTACATACATATGCGTGGACATAAGACATTTGATGCCTAAAAGTAATATCTAAAATTCATTAAGCTTAAATCTCAAACATTAGAAACACAATACAAATTAGGCGATTTTTTTCTTATCTTAATTTAGTCACATAAAAGTAAGTATGTAGTAGTTATATTAAAAGTTTTTGGCTTTATAAATGCATAACTTTACAATAAAATAAACTATTTATTCACTAAAAGGAGCATTCAAAACAAAATTTCAACACAAAAGTAATGATTATGAATTTTTAGTTCTAATTTTTAAAATTTGCACACACACAACACTTACGGACAGACATACATTTTCATATGAATATTATTTATACGGTATTGGATTTAGTTTTTTGCTTGTTTTGTTGATTGAAACTCAAGTGTGTTCTTATTTGTTCACATTTTCTCGTATTTTTTTTTTTTGCTAGTTAAATTTGTTGTCCCTTTTGCCCAATTTTGTTCGAATTTTAATAGAAGGCGCTCCATTTCATTTTACAGTTATACATATCTCTCTCTCACTATTTTAAAATTTGCACCTTAATTAGTTTCCATAAAAGCTCTTTCTTATACGAATATGTATGTATGTGTGTGCGCAGTTCATATATTTTGGCACAACTTTTCGCAGCTAAGATTGTAGCCTTACATTACGCAGTTTTGCTCATCAAGTTTCTTTGGAGTCTTAAGCATTCGATGAATATTGATTGAGCAAAGCATTGGCTGAGTATTGGTGTTGGTGACGTGGTTGGAAGATGGCATCCTATGGTTTTGTAAATGTTTAAATATCTTTAACATATTGATAATAATTTAAGTAAAAAACACAGAACTAGATTTTTACTTTGTGAACTTAATAGCTAACGAAATTGATGTACTTACATATATATGCAGTAAAAAACATACAAGTATGTATGCATCTACCATATTTTAGGACTCGTTGTACAGATAAACTTTTCTTAAAAATAGATGGGTTTTCTTAAAAATAATTTCAATCATTAAAAAAAATTTAGAAGAATTTATATTGTGTGTACATTTGATCCTATCATATTACAAGTAAACAAAAAACCTGAAAGTATTTTTACATGGCAATATTTTTTTTTTTTTAAATAGTTCTACTGCAACAATCAAAATACTTTCTTAGCCAAAATTTAATAATTTTTGGAAAGCTTTAATTTATTTACATTAGGATGTTAAGAACTGTGATATGGTGGGTAAGTTCTAGAACGAAATAGTTCTCTCGTCGGGACAAGAACATTGATATTTATCTTATCTTAATATCCGTCTGTTGATGTGACGAAAAATGATAAAAGGCGACTCCTACTTTACTTATTTGATGAGCATAACAGGCATGAAACAATGCTAACAAACTTTTATACATATATGCTCCACAACCCGAATTCACTTAAGATGATTGTTACGTAAGTTGTTATTTGTGAATTAAAAAAAAAAATAAATAAATAAATACATATACGCTTCTAAAGTTGATATAAAGAATGAGAAATTTTTGTGAAATTAAATTGTGACTTGATACGAAAATCTTAATTTCTTTCGTAGTGAGGTTGGTACAAACGAAATGCCAAGGCCTCGTTTAGTACTGAATATTTTGCCAAAAACAAATTTGAAAACTCTTTTTGTATTCAACATTGGCATATATGTATATATTTATGTACATTAGGGTGCATCACCTAACAAAATTATAGTTTTTCCACCAGAATTATAAATATTTTTATATTTTAACACTTCTGTCAAAATATTTCGGGAAAATATTAAGATTTATATAACTAAAAGATGCTCATTACCAATTTTGATTCGGTAAAAATAGTTTTAAAATTTTGTATCTAAATCTTTATTTTAAGCTTAAACTCGTCTGTCACCTAAGGTGATTGTTTAGGAAAAATATTTTTAAAAACTAATTAATAAAACTCCATTTTCGGAGGTAATTTCAAATAGGTCTATCTCACCCTATTATGAATATTTTTCCGAAATATTTTGCCGAAAATCTTAAAATATAGTAGATTTTATATTTCCGATGGAAAAATATTAAAAAACTTTTCTTTGATCCTAATGTGTACATACATTTATCTTTCTTAGTGCGGTTTGAATTTAGATAAACTGTTTAGATGCAAGCTGTTTTACGTATACTGTACAACCCCAATATAATATTTTGTGCAGTTTGAACACTTTGAGTTAGATTTGGTAAGCTAATTGGAAGAGCATTTCTCAGAGCAGTGAAATAGAGACTCTTCTGCAGGAAAGTTTTACGATTGTTGCTTGAATTCTCTCAGCACTAAAACTGAAAAAACTATTTGTATTATTGGGAACACCAATGCATACACAACTCATTCCGAAAAGTATTGATTTTAAAGGGAACAAAATTTTTTAATGTACACCGGGAAGCTCATTCGCTGGTATCTTATTCATCAGTTAATATTGATCCATTAAAAATTACACAAGGGCATTGTTTACGCGGAAAAAAATATTTTTTTTTAGTAAATCTAGCTGTGAGATCTTCAGTTGCAGGGTTTTTTTTCTAGCGATGTTAAGAAAATTAAATTAAATAAATGCAAAAGTTCTTAAACTGGCTAGTTCTTACACAACATAGAAGGAAGATTCTTTAAGTAGCCGACTTTTAATAGATACATATGTAGATGGTGAAGTGAGGCTACATTTGTTTTCGAAATTTCAAAATTTGAGACTCGTTATACATATAACTTAATATCGAGAAAACTATTTTCTTCATTAAGTTTTGTGCCAGAAAGTATTATTTTTACATTCAAAATATAAAAACCCTAAATAATATTTCTAAAACAAATTTCCAGATTTAAGAGAGGTGAAATAACGCTAAATATAAACTCACAAAAGTTGATGGGGTCATCTTATAACTTGAGTACATAAAGGAAATTTTTATAAATATTCAATCAGGAAATGTTTCTTAAAACTCAGTATATTGCACGATATTTTTTTCCTAAACTGGCTATAAGCAAAAATATCGCACATGCAGCAATAAATCACGCGTGCGCTACAATTACTTACTTCCATTAAATACACCACCCACATCATATGATTACTCCAGCCACCTTCAACCACCTGACACCTCGCACTCTTTTGCTTTTCCGCATTTTTCGTGCCACAAAAATTATTTTGCTGACTCCTGCTTACAATGCCTCCTCGGCCATTTTGTTGCCATCCAAA